CTCAAAAGCGGCGCCTGTAGGCACGTGCTTACCGTGCCTAGTGGTTAATCCGGCACTGATCAGGCCAATGTCTTACTGTAGGTATATATAATATAAAATATATAAACATGCAATGATGACTATGATCGTCACCTAAGTAAGAAAAAACAACAAAACAGACAATTGTATATTCGATTCCCTTTGAGTACAAGGTAATATTACTACAAGGACCTGCGGGCCTTTGAAAATTCAAATCGCAACATTAAAATTCAAGTCGAATTCGTAATGTGAATAACTATGCAGAGCTGTATATATTATAATAAATTATTAGGTGTAATTTATATATATATATATATAGAGAGAGAGAGAAAGATTCTCTCGCAGAGACGTAACTAAAAACGTGTACCTAAATATATATTATAATATATAAGCGAGATCACATCGCTTCATTAGGATAATATTATATCGTGGATATATTTTATAATATTCTATAATATATACAATATATAATATTAACRGCACTTATTGAGTGACATTTTCAACATTTTCCACAATATAGGAATAATATATTTAAATGTAATAAAACTCAATACATACATTTAAAAACTAGTTTTTAAAGCTCAATTATTTAATTTCTCCTGACCACTAGTGTCTGGTTTTGACATAGGCGCAACTAGATCTCTAAAATGTGGGGTGTTAAATCCACTTAAATCTATGAATGCATCACAGAGCCGTGGGGGACGAATCCCCCCACACCCCTTACACATAGACCAACATTAATAGATACATAAAAACTTTAAAAAACATATTAAGAATTTATAAAAATAAAAAAATGAACAACAATTAAAATACTATTTTTTTACTACGATATCAGTAACATATTGAAATATTTTAATTTCATACCTTGTTAAATAAATAATAATTAACACATTTTAAATCAACATAATTTTTCTGGGTTTCATGCAATATTTATACAAAATAGTTTCGGTGTTTATTTGATTGAATAAATCTTTTTTAATATTAAACAAAGATAAATAATGAATTATATTATAGGTACGACCAAATAGTTATACATTATTTCAGGAAATTTCCCATCGTTTAAAAATATAAAATTCATAATATTTCACTAAAATAATAATAGTTAGATATAAAAAACAGGGGGTGGCGGGGTGCTAAAGACCTTTTTGCAYCCCCCTAGTTGCGCCACTGGGTTTTGATAGGTAGGTACAGCCTTTAGCACCGGTCCATKGGTGAGCATGATTTCCATTCTTTGGGTTTCGAATAAGTATACTAAGGCCGTGGGTATACTCAGTCCTTTAAACTAGCCTTCCAACGGCCACCTCTACAAAAAAATAAAAATAAATGTCACCATACCCCTCTCACTCATACCGATCAAAWAAGTGCTTAGAATTTACCATCGAACGATGGAACTATTGTAAGTTTATGGAATTTACTAGTTTACCTCACAGGAGTTTGCAGAGCGTGAACAGCTTAGAAGCCGATTTATAAATAAATAACCATTAACACGAGGTGTATTCTTTCAATGGACACTCGACAATGCAGAGGGCGCTGAGTAAAATCAACCTTGATGTTTATTATTATTTTAATAATAATATCGTATTATCGAAGCGAATTTTACAGCGATTTCTATAAACAAGAACATAATGAGCGTTTTATTAATATTAATTAATACAATAATCCCATTAAATTATTATCTCGTACTCGATTTCCACCAATATAGTGCAGGCCACACTGCCACAGACACTGCAGACACCAAGTAGGTGCGAAACGACCTTGACGGTGCGCGGCTTTCCGAGCTTCGAACAATCAAAATAAATCGTTGAGATTATTATTATTAATAAGAGATAATATTTTATCATCGCCGTTATTGTCGCCTCGTTATCTATGCTCGGTGTTCGTCCGGTACCTCGCTTCATCACTGTCCAAATCTTGAAATCTCCCTCTTCGCAATACCTATATTATAATAGTAGTTCAGTATAAAATATAAATTATATTAATATTGTACATTTTGTACGTCCGTACTCCGTCGTTCGCAGCCACACTCCACAGACCACAGTCAGTGCTCGTTCGAGACCTACACGTTACTTTTATTCTCTATAGTTGTTATTAAATTTTAATTTATTTTCTACTCAGCAATGCGTTTGGGTGTAGTCGTTCCAGACTTCTCTGCTGTCACCACCAAAGGACCTATAAAATTCTACGAATGGGTCGGTGAATCGTGCGTATCAAATGCCTTAATAATATAGTTATTTATTTATTTACATTTATTTTAAGTATTTAAGTATCTTCGCGTCACGGTAAAAAATATCATCATAATAGTWATACTTCGATAATATTATAGATCTTACTGCATATTATTATAATTAACATAAGTGGATTCATATGTTTGTTGTTTTGTATTGGAACTTGTTTTAATATCTTTATTTCTATTTGAATGTAGATGGTGCGTTTTGTTTTCTCATCCATCTGATTTCACACCGGTCTGCACCACTGAGTTGGGCAAGATGGCAGTGTTGGTCGATGAATTCACAAAACGCAATGTAAAAGTCTTAGGTTTGTCCTGTGATAAGTTGGAAAGCCACGTCGATTGGATTAATGTAACTTWACTCTTAACTATATTTCTATACTATTTTTTACGATCCTAAATTTATAACAGTTATCATTTTCAGGACATCAAATCATATTGTCTGGACATCAAGGGAGAATTCCCATATCCCATTATTAGTGACAGCACTCGAGACTTAGCTGTACAATTAGATATGATCTCTGAAGAAGACAAGGACAATGTTGAGTTGGCGTTGACCATTCGATCTCTTTACATTATTGGACCWGACAAGAAGGTTAAGCTCATGATGGTTTACCCAACTAGCACCGGTCGTAATATTCAGTGAGTCATGATTGCATTCAAGAGTTAAAATATTTCTATTATAAATAATTTCAYTAATAATTTTTAAACATTATCTAGGTTTTATTATTATTTTAACTGCTAGATATTATAAATTATTTTAAACAATGTATTTTAAAATACATAAACTCATATACATATCATACACAGTCAGATCTTATGTGTAGCTCATGAGTGAGTTTGAAAGCTTAACTCTAATTAACTCTAGTTATCCAACATTGTTTGGGATAGTAGAATTACCTCTAAATAAATAGGTAGGTTGCTTAAACTCCACTTAACAATGATTATTATCTATAAAGATAAAAAATCAAATTTATTGAATTATTATGATAAACTCTTGTCAAATTATATTTGTTATGGTAACTGTAATTAAACCACATTATTCATTTTACCAAACCTTATAAGTGCTATTCATTAGTGTTAAGGTTCTCCA